AAGAGCTGTCCTGCGTCTGACCTCAAAGTGCACAAGCTTCAAACTTGAAGCGTTGGATGCGATTTTGAAGCTGAAATCGCGTTTGGTGTGAACGCGTTTGGTGTGAACGCAGCATAAGCATAAGTCTTCCAGAGGTCAGGAGGCCCGGCCTAAAATGAATTTCTGGCTACGCCGCTGATTATCGGGTCTGTTTTATGTTATTTGATAAAGATTAACAGAAATCACCTTGCACACCAGTCAACTCAACTCCACCACAAAACTACTTCCCCCAGGCTTTTCAGAATAGAACCACACTAAAGTCTCCACGTGACTCCACGTCTCCATATTAACATTGCGTGTTTACTCTAACCCTGCACGTCACCGAAGAGGTGTTTACTACATTCAGCGATGGCAAAAACGGGATTTTTTTTTTTACGTCAGTCAATATAAGCAGTGGAATTGCCACCTACCCCTGCAACAAGCTGCTCCAATTAGCTTGCTAATGCGCATAGCGGTGCTGCGAGGAAAAGTGTCCCCCGGGAAACAGTTCACTGGCAGCTGCGACGAAATGCTCCGAACGTGTTCAGGCTATTTAAACTGGTATGTCGGTATTGAGAATATTCATATCATAACAAAAATAAAAAAACGGTATTCGGTATGAACCGGTATACCACCCAGCGCTACTGTTTACATGCAGGCTTTCCCCTTTACCCTAACTTCCTGTAACTGTGCATGTAAATATCTCAACAACTGTTCATCTCAGCAGCATCAAATATTTTTGTTTCTGCAAAACGTTATTTTTGTCATTCCAAAAACACAGGAACATTTGTATGTATTGTTGTTGGTTTTTTCTTTTTGTGTGGTCCTTCACATTGTCTTAAATATGAGATGTCAGACTCCAGTGTGAACAGTACACAGTGACCTGCAAATGCAGAAGATGTGACATCACATGCAGCAGAAGTAAATACAGATGCAACACGTTAGCATGCGTGTATCGATTCTGAAGTTGTTGTGCAACTAGAGCTGACTCTATTCAGTGTTTGCCCTGCCAAGGAGGGTGGCCCACACCCCGTAACAGACCCCCCCCCCCAACAAAAAAAAAAAAAAAAAAAAAAAAACATAAAGTTGAGAGGTCATATGAATTACCGGTAACATTTCTTTTTGTATACAGTATACCACAACAACGAG